TCAATAATTTTTAAAGCATACAAGATTTATAGGTCCGCATTAAAGTACTATAAAAATGGGGATGTACTAGGTGTGTCAACCTGCTGACCCCCGGAAAGATCTTGAGTATTCAAATTTGCTTAATTCAGTCGAGCAACAGGAAAGATGAATAAATAAATAAAGCATGGGACGGTGCATGCCCGCCCCATCCGTACAAGTGGTGGCTTTGCTTTTCATAGTCAGGGGTACAGTGAAAGAGACCCAATATAATATTTTGAATTATGCAAAAATCATTTTGTATGCTACTAATCAGATTTCGAGTCGAACACCAGAAAAAAACATTTATAAATATACTGATAAATTTTGAAAAAGTTTCATTGTTTGCGTAAGGGTTGGTGCAGGTTATAATTTGTGTTTAGTTAAAAAAGACTGATGAACTATGACCACCGACCAAACTAATAAGGGATGTGATAATTAATATATTCTAACCATAATTTTTTGTTTCTTTTAACTAGTGCCGTTGAAGGTTTGAAATACGCGAGATGGTTATAACAAATTTTATATGCTATATTTGCATCTTCCGTTCTTTTCGGGTTGATACTCGAACTTCCCCAGCAGAAAAAGACCCGCTAACTCCTCTTTTTTAAGCTATATAGCTTAGCACAGTAGCTCCCTTCCGGTAATCCGGGAAAAAAAAATAACTTAAAAATGGGCGATAATGTCAAGTCGAATGCCAGCATTTGAAATTAGCGTCGAGCAAAGCATTGGGCAGAAAACATATACACTATCAACACGTCTGTTTAAAATGTACTAGCGTTTATTTAAAAAAAACGATTGTGTTATCACCACGCGAAGCTCGTGTTCAGTGAAAGGCCTGCACTCGCGCTGTGCAGGTTGTAGTTTCCGGATTGGAGTTTAGAAGGTGAAATGGTGGTCTATTTTTTTTTTCTAGAAAATGGCTCGGCCGAAAAGAAATTATGACAGCGAGTATACTAAGCTTGGATCCACCCCTATAGAAGTCAATCGGGAAACTCGACCTCAGTGTGTGATGTAATATGTGCAACCGTTCTCAGCGTTGATGCGTGAAAATCCGCAAAGTTTGAACGTCATTTAAAAAAGGTCTTCCCAGTTTAACTGATCGGCCTCCAAATTTTTTTGCTGGAAAATTAGAGAACCTAATAAAAATGAAGCTTGATACTAGTGGTACAAAATCTGTGTCATCTAAAGTGAACTCTGCTTTCCAATTTTGCTATTGCAAATTTAAAAAAAACTCAGGTGACTGGTGAAAAATTACCAAAACCTCCTCTGCTAAAAGCGGTGAAAGAAGTTTCAGGTGAATAGACCAAAAAGATTCAAGAATTCCGCTATTGAACGGTACGGTAGAAGTGGGAATTGGAAAATTTCGACGAAGCGAAAAACAACCTTTAGTAAAGTAAAAAATTCACCTTATTTTCCTTACAGTGAGACGAAAGTATCGAAGTTACACAATGTAGCCTACTACTGGTCTTTGTTCGATTTTTGGAGAAGAATAACATTAAAAAAAAAGGAAAAGAATAAGCGAGTATTTTAAAAACATGATATCCTATGGGAAAAGTTAGCTGACTTCTGTACACTTCTGTACGACCGGAGCTCCCTTATGCTAGGATCACGTTCCGATGTAGTGACTTTGGCGAAAAAAAAAAAATGCAAAACAACAACACACTGTATAATTCACCGCTAAGCACTAGCATCAAAACGTTGCCTGAAAGAGTTGGCGAAGATCATGAAATTGGCGATTCCAATGGTGAATGCAGTCAAAAACAGTGCGTTTAATACACGTATTTTCAAAAAATTGCACTCTGGCTTTACTCCGATTACGAAACATTACTTTTTCACAAGGAGCTTTGTGGGCTGTCGAAAGGAAACATGTTGGGAAGATTACATGAGGTGCGGGAAGAGCTAAGCTTTTTATTAACTGAGTAGTTTAGTAATCCATAATGTGAGATACGGCTGGCCTGTCTAGTGGACATTTTTTGTACACTTAAACAAACTTAATTTGCCACTACAAGATTCGGGCAGTACGAAACTGGGGGCTGCACAACATTTTGTTCGAAGACAACTTCGTGCGTTATTTGCAGACTCGCGCTGTGGATAAGAAAAATTGAAACTACAAATTATTTGGCGTGTTTTCAACGCTGAAATCTTTCATAGAAAAAAAAGTACTGGCATATCACAACTGAAGTTCAACAAAATTGGCTATACATCACCTCCACGGACTTAAGGAGTTTACATAGGTAATGCAACGATGTCAAGGCGGAAGCTGTTCGAATGTTAATTTAAAACTTTTTCAGTGTCGATGTAGAAAGTTTCTTGAAGAAATCAGTCATCGAATGGCAAAATGAGAGCAACTGCAAGGTTACGTTCGAATCAGCTTCGAGATAAATGCTTTACGGATCACCTTGTTATGTTTTCGACAAATTTATGGTGCTAAAGGGATTTTCCAGTCTGCTTTCTGTTCAAAAACAACAGTTGGACGCTACCGACAACGTGCTTGTAGCTTTGAGCAGCATTATAGTCCGAGAATATCGCGACTATTTAAATAAACTGCAAGGGCAAAAATCTTTTATTTTTTTTTTCACCATTAAATAATGCATTATTACAATTTGAATCCAACAACCATTGAACTAATTATTTCCAATCAGATGTATTTTTCATAAAGGGTCCACGATACATCATACTTTTGCTTCGGTAGTCCGCTGTATTTGAATGTTGGTAACCACTAACTTAGCAGTTAAAAATATTATAGATAGTAGGCGGTAAACTAATAATATAGCTTCTTTGTTCACAATAAAGCAATAATTTTTAACCCCAAGTTATTGACTCTATGCTCATTCTAAAGGACACAAAAAAATATTTACGGCTTTTAAAAAAATAGAGTACCTATATAACACGCAATTATTATCTTAATCGCATGCTATGATGATAGACTTGTAACCTTAAGCTACCTTTCTAACAATGATGAGGTTTCCTTATATATACTTAAACAATATTTACAACTAGTTTAGTATGTCAGCGACATTAAGTCGGATATAATCAAGTCTTTAGAGTAAACGTGTTTCTCTATATAATATATAAAAATAAAGTATAATTTGTATACGTTGTTGTAATGTTCGAAAATCGCTATAAATCATTTGTCGCAGAATGATCCCTACATTTATGGTTAGCACAAGAATGTGAAAGAAACTAATGCAAACAAAATTATAAAATTATATGTAAAAAAACTTATTATGACGTATCCGTCTCAGACAGTGATAGTAGTATAGTCATGTATATCATATCAAACTTTATGATCACGAATTGCAGGCGCTCAGCTTTGCCTTAATATTACTAAATTTTCGTTTATAATATATTCGCACATATTTTGTCGCTTTGCAGTGGTAGTTTTTCATTCGGCTTACTGTCATTAAATATACTTGTTGCGCGAGACAAAAATATTAAATTTTGAACCTCATTTTCCAACGGAAAGGACTAGAAACGCCTACCTTTCTGTTTTGTTTAGTAGAACCACTTTTCTTAGTTCGCGTAAAGCGGTTGGAACCAAACGACTAAATATCCAAGCTTTTTATATTTGCATTTTTCCTCATACGTTTGTAGCAACTCGTAATACCTTTTGCTAAGTTAATAAAAACTGTTTACTTGGTAGATTCTCTATTAAAATGTCTTACGCTTAGAAGTCACTTTAAAAAGACATAACTCAAACTTTCTTAATGTAGGACAGAAGCCTTCATAATCTATTTTAAAAAAGAAGGGTGTAACAAAGTCATTTAGGGTTTTAACCGCAACGTAAACATTAAATTGCGTGGTATACGGAATTAAATTTTCAAAATATAAACAAATAAGTATGTGAAGCAAGTATGGCTCTAGTATGCTATTAAGAGAATCTTTATTTAACACTATAGTTTGTTAAAAAGAAAAGTAATATTAGCACTAGTACAAAATGTACTGTTTTTAAAACCAAAAAGTAAAGGGTTTCACCTATGCCTAACTTTCAGACTGTAAAATCAAGGAAGTGTGATCCTTACAAGTACCCGATACCAATAATTTGTCTGTAGTTTGGTGCTTTTAAGGCGTACAAAAGTTTTTCTCTTGAAAACAAGAATAAAAAGAGGTCCACAAAAACCTCAGGGCTAAGTTGGAGCAACCCCGGGTTTTGCGCCATTAGTAGTTGACGCCAGCTAGGGGTGGCGCCACGTAGTATTAGTCAATTCTGCAGTGGAAGAGGAGTTTACGAGTGTTGTGAGGGGAAAAGGCCGTTCAGGTAAAATTAGTCTTAATAGAGATATGAGAACGCTGCCTTATCTGAAGCGCTTTACTATTAGTTCATGTTTTGCGCTGGCGCGAAAATATAGTATTGTTTACAGCTAAGGCTCCATTTCTTTATATTAAGGGTATAACAACGGTGGCCCTTTACGGCTCCTTATCCACAATAATAGATTAGAAACATTTCTACTGAGCGTACATAAATGTTAGTGTCATTAAAAGTATAAAAGTTTTTAAAGCTTCTTTTGAAGCAGAATATTGTAACTTATCTTCAAGTATTCAGATAGAAGCTCCACGCACTAGACTTTCCCCACGGTGGGTGCATATCCTGTCTTTGCGTTGTGGTTACTAAGCATGGTCGATCATATATGAGTCTTTTACACTCACTTTGCTTGATGTGTGTCCATGTGATCGTAGTTTTCTTTAGAGGGAAGGTGACCTTAATTAGCCCTAAACTCAATTGTTGTGGATTCTACGCTAAGCTGCTTTTTAACTTCCTCTACAACCCAGCGCTTTGTACATCATATACCGCGTCTGGTGGACATACAATAGTAAAATGTTTTTTTCTTGTAAATTACTTATAAAAATCCTTGTAATGAAGATCTCCTACGTATAATTTTAAGTTTGAAACAGCAAACCAGCTTTTGTTTATTACATAAAAGGACACTATTAACTATAACTTCATTAAACCAAAAGGATTCTTTTCAAGCTTAAAGGCATTAAAAGTAAATAACAAAATTTTCAACTAGTCGTGCATGTTATGTTCCCTGTAGATCTTATAAAATTAAGAAACGAACTTAACGGTGAAGACATCATTAGTAGCACCTTCTGCAGCTGCTCTTTGAAAAATATCCTGCACAGAAAACTAATATATATAAAAGAGTAATATTTAAGCTGTTAAAATATATTTTTCAAAGTTTACAATTCTGGTTGCGTTTTCGCGAAGTTCTTCCTGATGGCCTTGATTCTGGTTGCAGACATAAAGTAATTCTGACGTTCTAAACTCGACCTTTAATGAAGGCAACGAGGCACGATGAACGTAACACGTGATATAATAAGAAGCGCTCTAACCATGGGCTTACTGCTAGGACGCCAAAACTTAACATTGTTCTCGATACCTTCACAGCAGAAAATATAAAATATATAGTCCAGTAGTCATTAAGCAGACCCACCGCTGGTGGCTACAACGGGGTCCCAGGGATGGGGCAGAATGCAGTTTACAATGTATTGATCGGCTTTTACTACACCAAGCAGGAGTCCAGACCCCTATCAGAGAAGTAGAATACATGCGTACAGCGAAGGAGGCATGGCAGAAACCTTGTCCCACATGAACATGCGCCCGTCATCGCTGCCCCCCATAATACAGCTGCCGTAGAACACCGCTTGCTTGATGTCGGTGTCGACGTTGCAGTGGCCGAAGTATCTGCTCATCACTCTGAGTAATGTTATACGATTGCTCGGCGCTAAACGCCACCTGGCCTTCGGGAGCAGAGAGAGAACGCCAGATAAAGCGCCTGCCAAACGCGCTATGGTATTGTCTATGTGCTCCTCTTCGTCTGCTTTTACGCTATTCTCTTCGTCGTCGGAGGTAATATTTTCAGTCTTAGCGCAGCTGGCAGTTGCGCTCGAGTCCCTCTGATGGACCGGAGATAAACTCGCGGCGCTTCTCTTTTTTGGATTAGCTCCTCGCCCGGCGCTTTTTAAGTTAACTGACCTATCAACGCTTTGTTTATGTTTGCCTTCTCTCTTTTCCCGGGAACTCAGAAGGCATTTCTTCATCTTAGCCGAAGTGTTTTCAAAAAAATTACCACTAGGAAATCTATAGCATGCATGCAAGTCACGAAAGCAAATGAAAAAGCACAACTCAGCTGCTAATATGATACTTCTGTTGAGCAATGTCCGCCACAAATATGCCTTCTTCTAATAAGTCGAGTTCGAAGAGACTTTCCGTCAGTCTCACGTAACTTCGGGAACTATGGGGGCTGCGGATATTGACTGATGAGACGATGTACATAGAATAAGAATGTCCTCGTGATTACTCGCTGCTAATTGCTTTCAGGGAGTCTAGTAGTGCAGCCAAGCAGTCTGCCAGGGTATATATTGTCGTTACTCAGCGTTAGGAGCAGAAACGATTACGAACCTCCTCTCCACTTCCTTCTGAGAAGGGCGGTGGCTCTATTGGCAAGTAACTTAGAGGAATGGGGATTCAGATATATTCCCTTGCTATATACAACATTATGTATAATAGAAGTAGAATAAAAAGCAGGGTAGACCTATACAGATGGATAGCAAGCGAATAATCGTGCTTGTTATACGCGGAATTTCCTTGAAGTCGATAGTTGTCTGCCAACTTTTCTAGTGACGGCGCAACGGTGCTTGTAGAGGCATTGGGCGGAAAAATGCTGCTGTTTGATATATTTGTGTTCTTGAGAGAAGCTGTCTTTGGACAGCGCTGAATATTGAGTATCTTTTTCATAAGGGGTTCAAGCGAGAGATGCGAGTGCCCACCACCAGCTGCCGTGGATCCGGGAGACACGTTGTATGCTGCAGCAATGAAGGGAGACCGAGGAAGAGTGGAGCAACACTAACAGTCGAAAGTACCGGAGCTGCTATACAAACGGCCAGCATTCTCAGCATCACTCTTCTTTCCGTAACTAAAATCCATTAAGTAGATCTGAGCAGATAAGTAAACATAGTTCGGAGGGGTAGACCGTACAAAGCGTTAATCAGTACCTGGTCGTTTCCATAGCTGCAAAGAAGCTCTTTACCATCCTCTGAAAAGCAAACACACGTGACATAAAACCTTTAGAAAAGAACTTAGGAACGCCAACGCTCCCCCACTCCTGCCACCAGACCTCTCGTTCCTCAAACGATTCTTAATGACTTCCAAAGGTAAGAATGTTTCCACTGTGTCTATTTATAACAAAAACTAGAGAAGAGACCAATAAGAGTAAAGGTGCCACTCCTTACCCAGAGCATCGCGAATAAATCGTCGATCGTAGACTCTAACGACTGCATCGTTGCTTCCTTAATATTTAATAGAACGCAAAGTACAAGGTATATACCGTTATTAACTTTCTAATTGTTTTTTTACCAACGGCTAAGTAGTTGGGATCGGACTTGTTAATGTTGATGCACTTCACTTCGGTTAAAACACTGGTACGCCAGATGTCTACCATAATATTTTTAAAATTGAACCATTCAGGACGACAGAATAGTACTTCCGCAGTTTAAGTTGGTGTTATAAGTCTTTCTTAAATTAACAAGAGTCTTCACATCTTGAGAGCGATAATCAATATGTAGAACAGTTCCTTTAATGTGTTTACGTGTTAGTAATAAAGTTAATTATAAGTAGAAAAATACCGTCTTCACTACAAGAAATCAAAGATCTGGAATCCCTGGGAAGAACTTCAAGCATCTTTGTTTAACAATAACAACTTTTTCAATGTATAAATTAAAAGTAACGGAGTATTTAGTTAAAAACCTTCACTCTGTCTTCGTGTTCTTGACAACTGTGCACTACGCGTTGCTCTGCTATGTCATATATTATAACTTTTCTATCTGCAGCGCAACTTCCTAAATAGTTATTCTATTGAAACGGAAAAAAAAAAGAATATAATGACCTTTAATATTTTTACTCTCTGTAACTTACATTTTCGGGAAAAAATTTTACCCCAAATATGTTTTGCAAGTGTGGAGTGCCAAGAGTAATCAGCTTCAAAGTGATGGTTAAACACTTTACAAAATAGAATATAATAAAAATAAACCTTTTTGTCCGAGTAAAAGTTATAAATAGCTATTTTTCTATCATCTGACCCTGAGGCTAGAAGAGTACCGTTATCGCTCCAGTCAAGACAATTCACACAACTATTAATACAATATAAATAAATAAGTATATTTATGATTGTTTCTGTTTTTTAGGGACTAATAAATTTTCTATTTACCCAGAATGGAGATCTTTTTCACAGTCAAGACCAAAAAGCTTTATAACATTGCGGTGGCTGTACAGTCTTTTACTTCTATAGTTGACGCCAAGTTGGCTGCTACGAAATATATCATATATACTGGACATGGCATTCACAATTTTAGACCCCAAAATAATATAAGTGGTACTTGAAGTAATTTAAGAATGAAAAGCGCAACTAAACCTATAAACCTAGCAGCTAAGTCGCCGTCGCAGAGTCAACGTTGACTTTCGTACAGTTTGTGCTATTCGTTGTCTTAAGATTAAAACAAAACAGCCAACCGCTAAGAGGTTTTATCCTCAACAAGTAACCTTTGGTATAATGTTTAATGGATAGTATAATTTTATAGTAAACTTGTTAAAGTTTTAGAAGAACAAGAAAATTTAATATATTAGGGAAAACTTTAGAAGGTTGAGTAGAGTGTTTTGGTTAAGAGTCATGGCAATGTCACTAGCTACTAAACTAAGAGTCTAGTCTCTTCCTTGAAATGTACAATAGTTAGAGATCTTAAAAGCACTCTATTTAACGGTTTGGTTATTGTCAAAATTAAGGCAGCTTTGCTTTCTATAAGACACTATTGGTGACATAAAAAAAGACAGCGTTTTTAATTTTAGTCAAAAACTGGAATTCTCTGGATAATCTGACAATTTATAGGAATTGTAATGATAGCTAAACACAGTTATTTATGAGCAAGAAAACCTAGTCATTTCTCTAGATAGTTTTGGTAACTAGTACATTCTTCACAGTAACGCGCATTCATTCCACAAAGATTACTAATGTGTGGGTACGAAAAGCAGAATTAACTCACATTTCTCTATCACAGCATTAACAAAGTGTATGCAGTTCGGCCAATAAACTATGCGCGTTATAGACTGGTTAGTAACAATAACATCCAAAACTCTATTTCAAGAGTGATATAGCCCACAAGTTGGCGAATTTAATTCAGTAAGATATGACCTCGACCATATGGTAATTAATGGTAAGCAATGAAGTCAGTGTTTGTTGTTTATGTTCTACTCGTTTAGAATATACAAGGTGTATTCATAATCCTCAAATTATTAGTCTTTTTAACTGAAAGCCCTGGTTAATTTTTATTTAAAACGACAACACTCTCAACAAAAAAATGGATGACTCTTTAGACTGAAGTCTCAGCAGCACATACACAGAAAGCAAAAACAACACAAAGGGTAACGCCACAAAATAAAAATATAATAAAATAAATGCTTCATTTCTTCGACATTTTTAATAGACAGACTGGCGCACTACCATATTATACTTACCCCCACACGTGGCCCCCCAACAAAACTGGGTTCCCAGAAATTGTTTTTTCCTTTAGTTCTAAGGGAATAGTTAAAACGGCCGTCTTATCTTATCTCTAGAAGACAATAAGCCTTGTTTAGACAGCTTTTAAATTATATTTTCTCTACTATCTTATTTCACTAGAGAATAAAAATCTATTAACACAATAAAACGGGAAAACTAGACTACAAACACTATTAACTAACGCTATCAAGTCCCCTTAAAATAGTATAAATTTTTTTAATAACAAAAGGATTGTACCATTAAATAGCAGTTGGAAACTAAAACGGAAAAGTTTAAATATTAAAATTAGAGGTGGTAAGGCTACTTAAAGAGTTTATATCAAATTTCTATCAAAGTAAAGGAGCCTATAGCACACAACTGTGCATTAAAGGAGATATTTAATTTCTTATGGTATCGAGTCGGACATCCCCTCTTGCCTTACTAAATGATAGCAAAATCAATTTAAAATTTGAAAGTCCATCAAATTTTTCTTGCTGGCGACGAACCGGAGTACATTAAATTTTTAATCTTTTAGGATTCCCACCTCGCCAAAAAGTGAGACAACCACCTTAACGGGGTAGGAAATCATTTATTAAAGTATCTAAAGTCCTAACAAACATAACTATTATAATTCTGTTAAAGCAACTTAAAGTTATGTCAAATATACATGTAGAAGATATTTAAACTAAGTTAGAGAAGCAATAAAAAGAAACCAGGGAAACTTTATATTCGTCAAGTGCACGGTCTTCTACACTCTCTCAGTATGTCTATTTTGAAGTTTATTACGGGGAAGACACTGACTTAAAAGCAATTTCTTGTAGACACTAATATTTAGAGGAAACTGTATATATGAACTTATACACTGTTAAGACATTCAATGAATATGCGTGATACGTAATTCGCCTACATACTTTCAGGTAAGATAGCCGAATAAATAAGGGAAAAGAATGGGGAAGGAAGTTAGTCAAAAAGCAATTGGCAACAGGCAAACATTTTACTAAATATTAAATAAAGACAGCTAAAAGACAGGGTTTCATTATATTAATGCGAAGGTATGGCATACGCAATTTTTAATGTTATTAACGTATCAATACCCAATAATATACTTCAATAAAGATTCATTTATGAAGTACTCAAGTTTCTATAACTTTAAACCTCCGGGCTGCAAAGTTTTCTCTTACGACTTGTATTAACAGAAACTTTCCGACAGTATATTACAAGGCGGGCAGCCCGTAAACTCAATATTTTTTAAACACCTTAAGGGCTAGTGAGATTTTAAATTTTATTCCCTTTTAATATAAAATTACAAATAATAAAACTTTAAAAAATTAGATACTTTTAAGGTAAACATTCCCTTTACGACCAGTAGTCTCCTGCTGTTCACTTTCCGATTTGTATGCTTTTAAAACTAGTACACAGAGAATCTATAAAATTGGATTAGGGCGGAAGAGGTCCGAAAGGATAATCGAGTCGGAAAGTGCCACCGCTGTGAGGTATATGAACGCGCGCAAATTTCTGCTCTAAATCCTCCGACGCGTAGATGTGGTAGGGCCACTTGATTGCATAGTGCACAAAAGCACGAAGAAAGGCCTACCAGTTGTACTAATTGCGGTGAAGCGCACACTGCCAATTATCGTGGCAGCAAATATTATCCGTGAAGACCTACACCATCCAATTAAACTGCTCTACCAACACTTCAGAAACAGACCTCTTCTTTTGTAACTCCGAAATGTCTTATACAGCTCGCTTGGTCACAAAGACAACTCCTCGACCAACCCCGCAACGACCCTAAACAACACTTCGACAACTGCTTTCAGTATTGACAACAAACCTGTCAACAATGCTAGGAACGGTGAAAGTCCGGAATCCTTTTGCCACGGTTTTTAGACCACAAGCGCTTCCTCGTATCCATCCCCTGTTCTGAAAGGCAGATGGCGTTCTACATAGGGAACAAGAGTTGCAGAAATTGATGCAACGCGAAAGGATTAGTCTGTGTGTTAATTAGTGAGGCTCATTTTTCTTCCTAGCGTTCCATTCAATCTCTGCAACTTTTCGACGAATCACCAGGACCGCCTTTTAGGGGCCGCAGAGGCGCTGTTATTTTGGTCAGACGAAACATGCAACACAGAATGATATCATTACCAGTCCTGCAAAGCATTGAGGTGATTGGAAGCTTACCCCCACTTAACCTGCCAGGTGCCCGTGTCAGTAAATGCTTACAAGTCCCCACAGCAGGCCATTTATTACCTCAGATCTTGATGCTTTTTTTATTAATCCCTTAGTTGTGGTATGTGGGGAACTTAATTGAAACATCCCGCCTGGAACAGCCGTGTCGAAAACACAAAAGACCGAATCCTCAAATCTTACACGGACGAGTGCAGACTGCGCGGGGTATCATATTGATTTGGGCGAGGGTGAGGATTTACTGAGGACATATACCAGAACTTTTATGGGCTGGGCTCAATTCTCCGAAGCTCTTGATAGAACCTTTTCAATGTCTTCTGCTTTAATTAGGACGCACGCTTTACTTGACGTTGCTGGTGCTGAATTCGAGGGAGCTTTGAGCATGTCGTGCCACACCGTCACGAGAACACGTGAATTTGAGTTCCGCCCTAACCGCTTGCCTGATGAATTGATGACCCGAGTGGCCACGGTGCCTTAACGCCCCGAATATAAATTAGCGATTAACAGACTACACTGGCGCATTATGAAAGAACTGTTGGCGCACCATAACCGATTGTGGGAGACTAAGTTAAGTAATGTATTGGATGATAACGGTAACGGTCATATCCCTTTCTATAAGTTTATTAAGAAATACAAAAACCGAGAGCGTTCACCATTACCTACTGGTCGAGATAGCGATTTTGTGGCTGAAAATGATGCTGACAAAAACGACACTTTTTACTGATCACCTGGCTACTCAACGTGTGCCACCTGCTTATTTAGTTAGTTGATGAAGTGGTTTGTGAATTAACCTTTCTTGCTGATGCCGAGGAACAGCTTGAGCCACCCACCATAGTCAAAATCGTAGAGATTATTAACGCTTTACCGAGAGAAAAGGGACCTAGCCCAACGATAGCACCCACGTGATGTTAAAACAATTACCAATGGTGGAGGTAGAACGCCTATGCTGCCTCACCAACTCTACGATGGCTCCAGGCACCGTCTCATTGCACTGGAAGACAGCGACTGTTGTGGTGCTCCAAAAGAAACCAGGATCAGCATCTAAGTCAATCAAATGTAGGCCTACCAGCCTCTTGTCAGCCGTAGGCAAAGTAGATGAAGCGGCCATACTGCACCGCTTGAAAGCAGTTATTTACGCAAGCCACGGCCCTGCCAGAGTTCCAATTAGGATTTCGGCTAAGGTCACTCCATGTCTCCACAACTCCTTCATTTGACAGAGTGGATGCCCTGTGCCATCAATTTAAAGAAGGCAACGGGAGCCGTCTTTCTTAATGTCAAAAGCGTTTGACCGAGTTTGGCACAAGGGTTTGCTTCACAAACTACGCGCCATAGCCCTTCCTACTATTCTTTTTAACGTGATCAAATCTTACCTTAAGGATCGCGTCTTTGGTGTACCTGTGGACGATGCGCTCCCGCCCCCAAGGCCACTAACAGCCGGAGCCCCAGAAGAATTCCTTTTATCACCCCTACTCTTTTTTGCACTGTATGTACGCGACGTGCCACAGCCTGACGATCTCCACACGCGGATTGCCTCATATGCGGATGACAAAACGATTTACTCCTCGTCAAAGTCACCTGCCCTTGCGCCAGCATCTGCAATACTACCTAGTATCGCTTGCCAACTGGTGTCGTCTTTGGAAAATTACTATCAATGCGGAAAAGAACACAGCCCTCTTTTCCACAAAGAAGCGCACTACACCAATACCGCCATTAACCTTAAATATAAGGTAATTCCTTGGTTCCTGACGCGAAGTACCTAGGAGGCATTATCGACAATAAGCTTTCGTGGCGGCCGCATATAAACTATCTCGCGGCGAAGGTTAAGGCGCCAGTTCAAACTTCTTACCCTTTACTTTGAGACCGAAGCAAACTCTCGCTGCAGAAAAAACAACGCTTGTATTTGTTGTGCACCCGGCCGATCATGATATACGCGTCAACTGCCAGGGTCTACGACTCACAGGCAGTAGTCTCTTCGCTTCAAGTGAGACAAAACAAGCTGCTACGCCTTATGACGGGCGCGCCGTGGTTTGTTCGCAACGATGTCTAACATCAAGACCTCAAGATAGAACCTCTGGGTAAACGTTTTTCGACGTAATGGTAACGCCACATACCTCCGGCTCAACCAACACGCCAATAGATTAATTACAAAAGAGGTCAATTATGAAATCTGGGCAGGTGCACGCTATCGCCGACCGCGCTTTGGGACTCTGTATATGTTATGGGTTAGGGGCAGAACTATTTATAATATATATATATATACGAGGTTGCTTTAACACAAGCTTAAAGCCATTGGGTAAGCTATCACCCTGTTGAGCGCTCGTAATTTCTAGGGGGGGTTTACGAACTGATTGAGCACCAGGAAATATGATCAATAATAATAATAATAATTGAAGATAGCCAAGAACATAAAAGAAACGCTAATTATATTGACAAAAATCCCGAGCGGAATAACTTGTACCAAGAGCTGTGGTTAGCATCTTTTTTATATTTTAAAATCAGTTTTGTTAATATCAATATTTTAAAAATTATAAAAATACAATAAGACCACCTGCTATATTGAGTGTCGTAACTTAAAGAAAATCACTAATTAATAAAACAATATAGTAGGTAACCCAAAAAATTTAGGACCGAAATTGTTACAAGAAAGCCGATTAGCTGAGACCTTAAAGCCCAATAAAACTTGTAATATTTTTAACATTAGTACCAATAAGGGGGGCCTCTGGCTAGCAAAATTATAGGACTTGCTTCCTTGGCAACCGGTTTTCACACTCTGGTGTAGTGCAAAAATCTTCCAAAAAAATGAACCTTCCTTCTAAGAAAGTTCCTATTTACGTTTATTATATAGTCATATTTAAACTAATAACTTCCCGTAGGGAAATGTACTTTAAGGCTACAGTCGTTAGCAGAAATTCTTTTTTTTTTAAATTATACTATGATTTGTTTCCGGTTTCCTTTGATTTTCGACAAAGCACTATCCTTTTTGATGCGTAGAACGACTGAGATTGTTCATATGCCTTTAACTAACTTTCTAACTTCTTATATTCTATTTCAAACTTAATATATCTTTTACAACTCTAAACAACCTTATTTCTTTCAAAGTCAAAGTTACTAAATATATCACTATAATTTGTGAAAGTTGGAGACACACAGAATTCCTCAAGTATTATGTTTTAACTGCAAATACGCTCGTCAAAGTCGTAGCACCCTTTAAAAAATTCTTTCAGCTTGTTGAGCAATACCAATGCTATGATGCCTATTAACAGTTATTACTATCCCTTTTTTAGCAAAAAAAAACTTTCATCTTTTAACTAATAAACACTAATTAGATAACTGTTACAATCTTATATAGCCTTTGTACCTTTTAACGATTCTCCAGTTGGTCTGGTATAACGATGCTTATCAATTTTTGGGGCAAATAACAGCTATAATGCCTAATGAGTCGTTGTAGCACATTCTATTCGGTAACTTTAATTTCTTCGTGGTTAAACTGTCTTTTAAGTCTATTTATCGTATACTTGGCTATTTCTATGTAAGTTTTGTTTGCAAACCTAAAATATTTTACAGTTGTTACCTACTTTTTTCCTATTGTGCCATATACTTTAGAATTTTGAAGTATATTTGTTAAATCTTATTACCGAGTATAATTTATTTAAAAGTAATTTCTGAAAGCAATTTTCAAGAAACTCGTTCGTTGTAGTTTACCATTTTAAAGAGATCCGAAATTATATTGTTGCTGCCATAAGAAGAAAGTAAAGTTGACTACATGGGTTCAGTATTTGTTACCGACCATCTTATAAACTTTACTTCGCTCCGAGTCGTTTCGCTATTGTTTTGTTACCACTAGCTTATAAGCACTGCACTGCGCTGCTAAAGCTCCACTGTCCGCGTTGCAAAAACCTCTTTGCGCCATAAAACATTGACGCAACTTAGCGTGTTTCTTTTAAATAAACAAGTTGGTAAAAATATAGCGTTGGACACCACAAGATGACCGCAAGAAAAAGGACTACTCAACTTTATAACTACACGCCGACCATCCGAGAGACACAAGATGTATTATAAAAGTTTGTTAGATGAAAAATTAAAAATAATTTAATAGTTCAAACTGGTCAGCACTAAAACTTTCTTGGCCTCCTAAAGAAGTGCATGAACAACTTTCCTCAGAGGAGAAAGACAGCCGCAAACCTGAAAACTTTCATAATTTCTGCAAGATCCACCCACCCCCGTGCATTCTTAGTAGTGAGTATGACATGTATATATTGGCTGATTTCTTGGTACGCCTCTTGGTGAGGCCCCACGAGATCCTGGTAAACTTAAAGCCGCCTTCATTAACCAACGAAGTTACGAGAACACTTATAAGAACCATCAAGAGAGGGCTCTTTGTTCGGAGTAGTATTTTTCCTTCTTTCTTCAGTCTTCCTCTTTAAAAATTTCTTCATGTCGAACAAAAGTTTATAATACAAAAGCTGGTTGTAGAGGTCGGCACTTGTGTACTATTGTACATGAAATACGTATACCATAAAACATTATCTTAAAGAAAGCAATGTATAAAATATATACATCCTGGCGGTAGGCGCCGCCACAACATCCTCCAGCGGTACATCGCAATGTAGAGGGCAGCCGAACACGCCGGGAACAACCGAGATCATCGCACGTAGCCCATCCCTAAAACACGATTAGCCCGCCACCCGAAGGACGGCACACGCTTGTTTATACAGAACCTGATAATATTGGTCAGTCCACTTTTCAATATCGAGCTTTAGGCGAGCCTTCAAGTAACCAAGCGGGAAGGGATGGCGGCAGGCAGGATCCTCGCAAAGAAGAGCAGGTGACAGCTCTCCGGAAAGCTCTCTTCTCGCCACGACTGCCATTTGCTGCTCCCTCTGGCACTTCCCACATCGTACCAGTAGCGGTGCTGCTTTCTCGAACCTGCTTACTTAAAAAGTAAATCAATGGATATAATATTTGGTTATCACAAGAAACGCCTTTGTCCCTCGGAAACGCGAAACTTTTCCTCATCCAATTCCTCTTCCGATATAAATTTTTTTGAGAAGTGGCCAGGAGACTCGATTCCTTGCATATTATTGGCAGTTGTAAAGAAGAAACATCCTTCAGCTGAAAAGGTTACCCAAACTCTCTGCAATCATGTAATCGCTTATTTCGTCGATCGGATCCGTCAATCTGTGTAATGAATGGTGAGTCGAACAAAAGAGTACGCAAACTCCCGGGACCTCGAGACGACAGGGTAGATCTGCTGCTTCAGGTAATAATGAATGTCCACGACGAGGGAGTGGTCGCCCCCAAGTTCGTCTGCCAATGCATCTTAGCACCGCACGCAAAAGGCACCAGGACGGCTTACCTGGATGAAAGGCGCGCATGGCAGTAGGGCTATGGATATCCAGCTGATTGCCAGGCTCTGTGCTGCCGCTAGCACATATAATGTACGGAATAGTGTCTCTAGAGCCAATAACGAGCCCTCGACTGTATAAAGGAGAGAGACTACTTGCAGAAAGCTTTTGTATGATGGAGGATTTAACCTTTCCATGCGGAGGGCCACTTGCACATGGGGTTGAGACTTTTTATCTGGATAGTCTTGAGCTGGTTTTGCAAGGGCCTATTGCAATATAGATAGAAAAAAGGTACCAAAAAGAGCGCTCGGTGACCTTTGTTATGATAAACTTGTCCCTGCATACCTTCCCGTCTCTAATGTCGTTTGCCACCTGTACATAACGGTAATCGCCTGTGCTTTTATTAGAAATCAAAGTGAAACCGTTCGCAAGTAATCAAGGATTTCAGAAACCACAACTTCTCTGGCGCGATCGCTCAATATTAAGTCGAGAATTTTCCTGGAAAAACATAACAGACGCCAAAAGAGTAAAACAGGCCTCGGAAGTACCCTCCCACCTCGACGGCGAGCTCGCTCCAGTCTCTACGCACAATATCTAGCCCTATAGCACATGCTTATTGACCAGCTCTTCCGGCGTGTGCGCACTAAAAAGGCACCTTTTACTTCTTTTCGGGTTGTAATAACGCCCTGGGGATCCTCGTAAAGGGCCAAAGCGGCATACTTCTTCTTCTTTAGCAACAACATCTTCGAGCGGAGAGTATCAGGACAGCACAAGTCTGGCCCAAGAAGACGAAACCTTTTTGTATATGGCATCAACTTCGAGCTCCAGTAACTTGTAGGACATGTTGACGGTCCACCGGACACGCTCTCCGATCTTTTTCACCTCGTCAAGGCTAGATGCCCTAAAATCAAGGCAACATTAGTACTAGCAGAGAGCCAAAACAGGCGAGAATCACCTAGTGTTAATCATCACCGAGTCAGTGTCTCCATAGATGACCTCCAAGCACAGTTGGTTCTGGACAAGCTCCGCTATTAGCAAAATCGTATTGGGGTGTGGTGATGACGATTAGAGAGGGGCAGAGGCATACCTGTTGACTGCAAGATTTCGCGCCCTTTTTTTGTAATGAGCTCTGCAATTGGCTTAGCATAGAAGCGAGAGTGGGCGAACCCCAGACAGCCATACATGCTGTTGGCTGTTAGCTTCAATGCAAGCTGGCGAATGTCCAGCTGTGTGAAAACGGCATTTTCCTTGGGTAGCGGGAAAGGAGGTCCGTGGAAAGTCACCTGTGCAAGGTCCTGAGGAGAGTTGCAGTTCCGCATCATGAGCTTGACCTGGAAAGAAGAAAATAATCAAACTTATGCCGACCCCTCCTCTTTTATGCACCAACCTCTTTTCTTCTGGCAACCAAAAATTCCAGAAGTTTGGGTAAAACACCTTTGCAATATGATAAAAAGGAGGCAAGTTGAGGACAAGCGCAAAAGGTGGCAAGGAAAACTACGAACCCCGTTCGAGGTCGGCACTTGGAAGTTCCACTTCCGTAGAAGCCTCCCACTCTCTACTGTTGGCAAATTCCTATCAAAATGAACACGGAAAGGAGCACCGGCTCTCTCTCTTAATTTTCATTGTATATTCTTACGTTCAAGAAAGGTCGATCAACAGTCGTAAAACATAAATTGTACTCCTAAAGTAAAAGTAAATATAATGGGGATAATAATAATAAGAAGAAACCTGTATTATGGAAGGATACAGAGAATTGAAGTCCATCAGGACAACATAACTGTCGTAGAATCCTTCGATAAGTAGGCATAAAAATATAAACGCCGCGCCTGCAGGAGGACGCACCTTTCTTGGGGTCCAGCACGAGGCCTCCCAAATAAGTAGACTTCTTTTTACTCGTTGCATACTGCAGTTGGGAAGGTAACCAATAAGCTAAGAATAAAGCGCGTGCAAGACCGCAACCTTTTCATCATCCGCTGTTGAAAAGTGTTTGTCGGGAACAATAAACTGTTTTAAGTCATATTAGGCATGAAGAAGAGTCGAGCAGGAAAGCATCACTTTTCTATTGTGAAACTCATGTAGAAGCAAATATTCGTTTCTCTCTGCACGGCCACCCGCCAAAGTCCTCGACCAAACGTTTCCTGGTCGAGTTTAGCAGTCCATAGAGAGACGTTATAAGGGCGCCGATGGAACACAAAAGGGGTAACCGGAAATGTTGGTGATTTGCTTGGTCAGCGGAATCGCATAAAGGCTGAAGGCGAGCAGCGCTACAATGTACCCATCATTTTCGTTGTGCGTTATTAAGGACAACAAGCTCTAAAGGGATATACTCGGATTATAAAAAACCCAGCGATGTGTGTATAAAACTTTGGTGCTCTCGAAGGCGGGGGGGATGGCACTCAGCTTCCACTCGGTTCGTTTAATGGCCAGCTGCTTCTCGGCAAGGTCGGACAGACTGCAGAAAAAGAATCGGAAACTGTACAACTTACGTTATTGAAAGGACTCGCCTGTAACTTTTCACTTTAAGAAACTCTTTGCAGGCCAAATAAGTAGACAAACCGAGACGGCCGGCAATAGCCAATTTATGCCCGCCGTATGAGCCGTTTCCGCCTGCAAGAGAAAGCAGTGGCGTTAAAAAAAAATAAGCCAGTGTGTCAATAAGCGCTAGAAACGGGACTTAGTCGAGGGAGTACGCGACGGCGGAATCGACCAATTTTCGACCACGAGGTCACGCGAAGTTCTCGCATGCGGTGCAACAACACATCCACTTCAAAGCCAAATAGATTGTGACCTAAAAAAAGGAGTTTACTACTACTAATAGATAGATATAAGCCGAGAACCAGCTAAAATATCGGGGTCGTATTTGTGCAACTTCGCCATAAGCAAGTTCAGAAGATAGCGCTCTCCTCTAGGAAGTCATAAGGAAGAGTTGCAACAGAAAAAAAAGACAATGCTTGGCTAGACTTACTGAACTTGTTCTACGCTAAGCCCTTCACAGTTTTTCCCGAAGTCGTAAGGCAGTGGACCGTCCACGTGCCTCACCACGCTGTAGCGCGAGATCTACAAACATAGAACCATGCTTTACTGAGAAAGAAAGATAACGCAGGTAGGAACCTGCCGCTGGTCCATAGAGGTGGGGCCATCGATGCTGACGCGGGCATGGCAAAACAGGCTTGCCAGTACGATTTCGTGCTTGCCATTGTTGGGGTCTACCGTATAAGGTTAGTGGACACCATAACTGAAGCATTTATTAATTACAAAAACAAACTCAAGATGGTTTTGAGGGAAAGAGCGGCAAGTTTGAAGAAAGGAGGGTCTCGTTTATGCTTAGAAACAACAACATCCTTCGGGTCAGCAACAGCAAACTCCAGCTTGCTCCACGTGACACGCCGGGTCCTAAAGGCAAAATGACATAAGGCAGCCACCTAAAGATCCAGAGTTTCATGAGTACGCCGGATTGGAGTTTCTCACTTCCAACCAACAGGGGCCCATTAGCTTCCGCTTCAAAATAAAGGTCTCTGCAGCGCTAAGATGTGCTGTTAGTATAGGGAGAGAATAAATGCAGAAAACACAAAAGTTGCCTAGTGCGAGTTCCAAAAACTCTTGAAAAGGTTTTCCCAACAGACTCGCTAATTGGTGGGCAAGTGTACGGATACTGTCAATAATTAGTTAACACGGAACCCGCGAGGCATTGCGAAAAATAAAACCAAGCATTTCAAATATTCCGCCGTGGTTGGCACGTGGGAAAGTTCAAAAGCATAATACCGCGTGACTTTCTTGCATTTCCTTTAAAGACCTGTCAGAGGTGCAGATCACGTGATGTTCAAGGAGTACCATTTTTTAATGCCGTGCCGATCCATTAGGGCTTCCACTTCTTCGTAAAGAGCCTCAAAGGGGGTGGCTGCCAGAATAAGGAAGAACTCCAATAGAAAGACAGAAGATGTACTTTGTTCCACGCCCTCCGTGTTGAGAACGGTCGGTCTTGGAAGAAAAAATAAGTTTCCTGCGATATCCAGATATTACCAAGTATAGTTATGTGCGTCTAGTAGAGGCCTACGAGACACGTTCTGCACTACCACCGTGCAGCTCACAAAGGTGTTTATTTCGTCGGAGTAGACCTATAAGCGAGAAGTAAAGCGGAGCTATGCAGTTCCAACGATAACGAAAGGCACTTTTCCAAATAGATAAACAGTGCCAGGGTCGTTGGCGTCCTCAAAGAGATCTAGCCAATAAAAATTCATAGTGCGTTCTCCAGGCTCGGGCGCATAGGGGAGAGAAAGCAGAGGGTTTTTCGACTGAGCAGCTGCTTCCAAAGGCCGTCGTGCTGATTGGAGGAAACCATCTAACCAAGGAGAAGACAAGGGGGACAACGCGGATAACCGGCGGGAGGGAGGGTTTTCACCTCGCTGAACTCCTCGTCCGGAATGGTTCTTCAGCACAGTCGGAAGAGTGGGACAAAAAAAATTTAAAAATAAGAGCTTTACACAAGCTCACTCTCAGTAGCACAGGCAACTTGTTCAGTTACTCTCACGGAAACCGTTTCGTTTTCACTTCGTTCTAAGGCTTAATAGTAATAGTAAAAATAATAATAATAATAATAAATGTTAATAACAATAACCTCTGGGAGTAGCGGCATTTAAAGCAGACTGGGGCGGTTCTTTAAAATTTTCATCATCAACATCGTGGCTGTCCGTTATTTTTCCTTCAACGTATACAAAAAGCCAAAAAATTTTCAACAAATTAAACAAATGGCCCAATAGAACCGCTGAAAATAATTAATAACGAATAGCTAAAGAATTCGGCTTGCTATGAAGCCGTCTGCCTGCTAACAAAAGTATATCAAATGGTCACAAAGTAATCCGCTCGCCATAAAAATTATGTAAAGAACACAAAGTTACTGTGGCGCACAAACTGTGCTTGTTAGAAAAAAGAACACACCGTTCGGTTTCGGTACACAAACATTCTGAAATTCTCATAGTTATACATAAAAAAAAAACTTTTGTGTGGTAAGTCCTCATCCGCCTGCAAATTCGAAAGAAGTGACGAAAGGAATCTCGCATCTTCCTCAGTCACCACTTTCTAATAAGGTTAAAAAAAGAAGAAAAAAGCTAATCTTTTATTAAGTAAAAGCTCTAACATATTATCTATATTAGTTAAAGAGCTACTTTAAGAGAACTCAGTAAGAATATTAAAATAGCTTTTAGAAAGAAGAAATATATAAACACACCGACAGAGCTTCTATATAAAATCAAAAATCCAAAGTTAAATGGTCAATATACAAATTCTTCCTGTTTTATAGCACAAAACTTTAAAATAGATAAAATTTGCACAGGTAATAACATTATAATAATAACAAAACTCTCGGAAGTCATAACTTTAAGAATAAAAAGGTTGAAAAAAAAAATGAATAACTTTAGAAGCTTTTGTGGACTTGACAATTTTCTTTTGTAACTTTAAAAAATTTAATTTTCCTTTCTGAGATGGAGTTTTTGAGGAAGAGGGCCCTTGTCGTAAATAGAATCCCCGAGAAATAACTGCCTTTATAAACTATCAAGGATAGTAAAAATAAAACCTCCGGGAGGCTCAGAAGCTTTTCTCTTTTCTGAAGATATAAAGAAATTAAATTCAATACGACGGCATTATAGTATATAAGAACATAATACAAATAAAATAGCAGTGTGAAGATTTGTTCGATACTACCTAACTATAAACTGGGAAAAAAGAAAAGATTGCCAACTAAATTTAACTCACTACCAAAGTTTGTAAGTTTAGTGTAACCTACATCACTCGCTGAGACGTACAAGGAAGCTTTAGAGGGTATATAGAAATTTACTAGGCGAAGTGTCGTAGTTTTTAAAATCACTTTCTGCACCAGAACTTTCATCATCCCACCACTCTCTCCCGTCGTCGGCATAACCAAGATCTTAAAAGATGGCAACACCACAATAAATTAGTTAAAAATTGGGGGTAAACAGCTACGCTTTAAAAAAAAATAATCCTCACCATTAACTCCATAATCCACAAGAAAGTCGACTTTACGAAGTGAGTTTACTCGATTCACTTGCTCATCTTCGTCGATATACTCCCAGATATCTCCCTCTACTTCTAACTAAAAGGCAGAGCAGTTCAATATATGTATAGGAAAACAAGGAGTGTGTATTTACTTGAGTGAAGGAAACGCCCTTGGCTTTGGCTACCTTGGCTTCTTTTAAAATGTTTAAGGCTTGATTCCTCTAAAAAAATATCATCAATAAAATTATAGATTTAGTTTCTGTAAATACTTCTTTATGCTTAGACATGGCGCCCGTGCGCCGTGAGGGCCGATGGTGTTCTATAAGATTAAAATTAGTTCATATGTAGTTATATAAATATTGAATATAACTGTTAAATATATTCCTGACTATTATTGTAAATTTTATAGAAATTTAGAATTAAAATTATTGCCCGTTGAGTGATATCATTTTTACTATTATCCATATTTTAAAAATATAATACTTGATACATAGACATACCAGTTTTTATTTTATCTATATTTAAACCGTCATCACCTAACATGATCTTGAAACTATATAAGTTTACAATTTATAAATCACTTTAAAAGACCAAGGACCTTGGAGTAACAAATCCGAAATTACTCGTACTGTAATAATTTCCCCTGCGGGGTGGCTTGAAATTAGTTTTCCATTTGAAGCTCAATCCGTAGACCCCATGCACAAAGTTAGCAAAGTTTGTTCATTTAGTAGTTATGAAATAATGGCGGGTGAGGAGGCCAGCACTGTCTTGGTTTATTATTATGGTACACTCGCAGTTGTTAGGTTGATTACAATGTTATTTATTTATTTATTTACTGGCCTACTACAGCCGATATGCATAACACATCCTTGCTGCTTAGTCCTTGTTCCCCTATAAACTATAAGAGAAGTAAGGAAGAATTTGGCTCCCCTCGAAGAGCCTTCATCTTCAATGCTCGTGTACCAGCCCATGGGCAAGTTATAAGAAGAGAGAAGTACAAACCAACAAACAAACAAAAAAAAGTAATATCATCAAGAATTATTAGAATGAAATAAGTAAATAAAATCAGTAAAAAATAATAATAATAAAATAATTTAATTGATAATATATAAACTTACTGTAATACGCTGTTTTCTTGTATTAATTGAATTATAATAATACTAAGTCGGTTAAGCATATTGAAATAATAGTTTTTATGTTTTCTGTCACCGTTATATATGGATTATTTATCTTTAAATGATAGTAATGTGTTAATTAAATTATATTACAAATGGTCAAACGGCCAATAAATAGTTTGGTAAATCAAAGCTCAAAGGAAGCGATCTTAAGATGTGTTTAGGCCTTCCATTCTTGTTATACTGGTCTGCGTTATAACTAACTGCATTGGATAATAAGCCATTGGTATGTTCACTGTATTCTTTATAGCATTTTGTCGCAATTTATAAGAACAAAGAGTTTATTGTTTTCATTTGGCAGTCACGATGTAACTGAGCATTACGTATGGACAAGGAGCATCAGTGATTAAACTAAGGAGTCTGTTTTGAAAAATCTGCAATCTATTTATACGACTTTCAAAACAGGGCCAAGAGATGGAGCATACACCATAATTGGGCGAATAAAGAATTTATGTAAAAGCAGTTCATTTTAAGGTGATGTTTGCTGAGCCTACATATTATTGGGTAAAGGAAATTCCTGGCGGTGTTCATTTTTCTCAGGACCTACTCAACATGAGCGTTTCAAGTTAATTTATGATCTACAATAACTAATTACTTAACACAGAAGCTCCAAGAAATGCAGTTTTAAATATATGTAGTGCGGCACTTTTGAATATTAATTTTTCTTCCTAAAAATTATCAGTGCTGCGCTCTAAGAATCAATGATCGTTATCTGCCAATTAGTAAACCAGGTTTCCAGAGTGTACAAATGAAGTTGAGAATTTTTTATAGTCAGTGCAGTCGGTATAGGGCGGCAGAACATAATTGCGTTATCCGCATATTGAACTAGTGATGCAGTAGTTGAGCTGGGGAGGCCTGCCATATAAACTGCGAATAAAAAGCGGTTATAAAAGTAATAATTGAGGGATTCCAAGGTTTAAATCCCCCATCCAATACGAACTGAATTTTCTGTGCAACAAATAATTTTTTGTCATCTGGACTAAGAACCTAGAAAAGTTAAACTTGGTTAAACTTAACCATCTTATAGACAAGTCCTCTGCGCCAAACTTTATCGAAGACCTTTTCAGCTTCTAAAAACACTATTGCGGTATATTTTCGATCGTTGAAGGCTTTAGTACACATTCCGAAAGTATTAGAATCTGTTGAGATGTGGAGTATTTTTTATGTAAACCAAATTGACACTCCGGGAAAGTTATTTTCTTTCGCAAAGTTTTTTAACTAGCGAGTATCACATGCTCCGCTACTTTCTATTGCAGAATAAACTTGTGGGTCGATAGTTTCTAATAAAGTTCCCTGTTTTTTTTTAATTGAAAATAAAAACAAATTCTGCTAACCTTCAACGATTTGGAAAGTAGGATATAGTTAACCTCGAATTAAAAAGCGCGTTTTCGTAGGTAGTAGCCTTAGCAGTAAAATGTTTGAACAGTTGGTTGGATATAAATCTGGTCCTACTGTCTTTTGGTATTTAAAAGTTGGGTATATTAAAAATTTCTTCGCAACTAGTAAAATAAAGATTGTCTAAATTATACTCAAAGGTCGCCACGTACAGAGGTCCCCTCTTCTTGGGTCTTAGTGAAACCCTCCGAAAACGAGGACAAGTGTTGAGCAAAAACGTTAGATTTATCTCTGGTAGTATGTGCTATGCCATTTTCATAATATATGAGTGGCATGCTTGATAAATTGCGGTAAGGTTTGAAGAATCTTTTAAATTTCCATAACGACAAGATTACAGGATTATACATATTAGCTTTTGCCCCCATTTTGTTATTAAGTTTTTCTAATTCCTTCTTTAATACATTAACTGCATTGTAGGCTTTTTGCCCTTAAAAAAGCCTGTCTTTATATATATTGATTTTAAGTAGCGTCTCCTTTTAATCACCGCATAATAGCGGGAGGCATTATTTTGATAGTATTTGAGTATTTAGGGAAAAAAATTGTCTCCCACGTCGATAAGAACTGGTCTAAGGTTGGAGGAAAACTCGTAGAAGAATTACTGCGGTGACTTATATATTTTGTAATAATGCATTATCCAATACATCAGTGCTTCCCCATGTTGTAATGTGAGTTGGGTCATCTAGCTCTAGAATAAGGGAATTTGATGAATTACCCAATTAACTAAGAAGTACCCATTTCTATTTGAATAGCGGTGTTCTAATGGGCGTGCTTGCAAATGAGACCTCCAGCCAACAAAACTTAGCTCGATAAGGCAAAAATATATTCTAAGTTTTCATATAAAATAACTTCTTTCTTGGGGACTTGTAAGCTGGTGTCAACCTATACTTCGCCATTCTTCTGTAATTTGATGCGTATCCCAATTGCTTCTAATCTCTGAAGATTGCGTATAACCCCGTGTGTTGAACACCTTAACTAAATTTGTTACCCCTCCTTTTTCGAGGCCCTGCGATCGCACCTATAAAGGTATAATAAGTATTTGAAACTTTTTACCTTCTTTCGAATGAGTTTCCAAAATGAGAATAATATCAATTCTGTTATTAGTAAAAAGTTCAAGTTATTCAATTTTTTTTTCTAAAGTCGTCCGCGTTCCAAGGTAATTACATAATTTTTTTAAGCGGTATTCATTATTCATTTCCCTAAGTTTCTCGAATATAATTGCCTATATTAATGAGACCACTACATGATTAATTACTAAAGCATATAAGGTAGTAGATGTTGAAGGTTACCTATTACAACTCGACATTTTGCGAGCGTTGCTCATTCCTGCTCCTAAGGAACAATCTCCTATATTTTCTTTACTGTCTTTTCTCCTAATCTTTCTAAGAGGGGCGTTTTAGGATGTAAGATGCATCCTCTTTAGTTCACAGTGTGATCGCTATTACAGTTTGCACCTCTTGGCTTTTCATCTTTTGTTTAGGGCATAACTTCGCGGCATGATCTTTACCGAATTTAACACATTTGTAGCCAGAGAAACAGAATTTTTCGCTATGTTCGAATAATTTGCATCTAAAGTATTGGTCAACCCTACCACTATTCCTTAAAGGTCCCGCAGAGACCGTAATGTAGCTTATATTTCTTACGTTATATATACTTCAGTTCAGATTGAGGTAATTTAACAAGGACCAAAGGCAGTGGAGTTCTAAGCTTGTCATATCGTCGCATTCTAATGACTGCGGAAGAATGGATTCCTTGAGTTTCTAGCTCTTGTCTAAAATACATTCGGCGTCTAGCTCAGTAAAGACGCCACTCAAGATTACCTCTTTTTCAGAAGGCAACTGATTAGAATTCATGATCATTGGCGTCAAATAGGGCTGTAAAGTCGGTTTCGGAAGGTACAATAATTTGGTGCCATGTATCGCATCTTTAGCTGAGTTAATAGATTGGTTGCTAGCTTTAAAATTGTGATACAAAAATTTTCAAACTGATTTTTTACGAAGGATAAAGAGGGGGATTTAAAGTTTTTATCCTTTTCACTATTAATATTGATATTAGTATTACTGTTAATAATATTACTATATTTATTACTATTATTGTTATTATTATTACTACTATTACCCAAACTATTACTGTTATTAATATTATTATCACCGTTAATATTATAAACATCGTTAGTACTTTTATTACTATATGAAGTACTAATTGAATTATCAGTCTTGTTTTTCTTACTTTTAGTTGTATTATACTTGAACTTACAAGATATCCATAGGTACGGTTTGAGCTTACGGTATATTCGTTATCAACAAAACGTTGGTCAGTATCCTTAAGAAAAAGAAACTCTTTCCCGTTGAAAGTTTTAAGGCTGGTTGTTCTCCCTTTAGTTATTTAGGAACCTTGACCTGCGAAAGTTTATCTTTATTTCTAGTTCCGCAGTAGGTCTGTTGGGAGAATCTAATTTCGTTTGCAGATCTTTGGTGGTAGCTAGCAAATTAGATACTATATTTGAGGAGCAGTCTCTCTCCACATCTTCTAGCTTACCGCAAATTCTAAGAAAGAAGTCGAATTTGTTCCCTATTCACTGACTATCATTACGTGTATACAAATATGGGAGCCATATTATAGGTGTCAGTAAATACAGTCATAGATTGTAGCCTGGCCACCTCTCCTTTTTTTTTGGTAGACTTTACATATCTTCTTACTTTATTTTATTAACATATAATTCCTCAATATTTGGTTAAGCGCAGTAGAGCTGAAAAGTTTTCTTTTAACAAGCTTGCACTTTTTTCTTAAATTATACTGGCTATCAAAAAGGAACTTAGAATTGAGCCCACAGCGAAAGACTGAAGGTACAGGGCCTCGAAAATAATCCCCTGTTTGAATTGAAGTTAAAATAGGAACCGCCAGAAAAACCCTTTTCAATAGTTAATCACGCTAATTTATACTCTGCTCTTCAAAATTTAACGAACCATGGAGAGAAGAAATTACAGAGATCAGTAAAACGC